AAATGATTATGTATTGCTCAGAACAGTAGAGCTTAGTAAAAAGTGGCCCTGCATGCATATCTATGAGGTTCCTGACCAGTTCTGTTCAGTTCAGCAGTGCTTTTGGACTGTACAATATTTTATCCAATAATTCTTTTATTAAAAAGGCAGGAATTGTTCCTCTTTTAATTACCACAAATATATATGAGTATATACAACATATGTGTAATTTAAAGAATAGTTGAAAAAACGCCTATGACCCCCTGACTCTGCTTATGAATTAGAATATCACCAGATGCTCTAAAGTCTCCTGTGCGCCCCTCCCAGATCACCTTCTTCCCTCCTCTGCACTATTCTGAATTTGGGGTTATTCATTCTCTCATTTTGCTTTTGTAAATGTACTTCATATATATCACTAAATAATGCATTGCTTTGTTTTTGCATGTTTTTGACTTTCATATAAATGGAATCATACTCTATTCTTGCATCTCACTCACCCCACCCCCCGGCCAACATTGTGTTTGAGGTTCTTCCACATGGATGCGTATAGCTATAGGTCTTCGTTTGTGCTTCTGAGTAACTAATATTCTGTGATGCAAACATGTCACATTTTATGTATCCATTCTGCTCATGGGCAGTTGGGTTATTTCTAGGCTTCTTGAATAATTCTCATGGGAGTGTATGTAAAGGAGTTCCTAGCTTAGGAATTTGGAGGGCCATAGAGTGTGAGCTTTTCTAGGGAAGTGATAGCTTGTTTGCTAATGGGGTTGCCCCAGCTTACATTCACACCAACAATACATGAAGGTCCCCCATGCTTCATAACCTTTTTTCTTTTCTGTTAAGCCCTTAAAAATTGAAGTATAACAGATTCAGAAACTTGTACAAAACATAAATATAAAGCTTGATGAATTATTACAAAGCAAGCATGTGGGTAACTACCACCCAAGTCAGAGAGAATTGGTAACACCCCAGAAGCTTCTCTCCTGCCCCTTCTCAATATTTACCTTCTCCCTCCTCCCCAAAGGTGATCACATCTCTGACTTTTAACACCTTAGTTGTGTTTTACTCATTTTTGAAAGCCGTATAAACTGAATTCATTAGTGTGTATTCACTTATATCTGTCCGCTTCTGTTCAGTTTCATTTTTGTGATAGTCACCCATCTCGTGTGTAGCTTTAGTTCATTCAGTTTCGTGGCCGTATAGCGTTCCATTGTATATCCATTCTCCTGTTGGGAGACATGTGAGTTTCCTATTTTTTGCTACTACAAAGGCACTACTATGAAAATTCTATATATTTCTTGGTGCCACTCGCATAAGTTTCTGTTGCATATGGAACTACTAATGGAATCGTCCTATTATAGGGTAAACACGTTGAACTTGTGTAGATAATGCCAGTTCCCCAGCTGGTTCTACCACATTGCCGCTCCATCAGCGGTCTAAGAGTTGCTTTTGCCTCGGATCCTCACGAACGCTTGGTACTATGTTTTACATTTTAACTATTTAAATGGATGTAGAAATGATTTCTCATAGTTTTAATTTGCATTTTCCTGACCATAAAGAGGTTAAGCACATTTTCACATAGTTGTACACTATTTGGATATCTTAATGAGGTGCCTGTGTATGTCTTGTGCTGATTTTTCTTCTGAGTTATATATAGATTTTAAAAATTGTATTGTTTATTGATTTATAGGAGTTTTTAAAAAATTCTACATAGGAGTCCTTTTCTTGATTGTACATGTTACCGAAATCTTTTCCCGCGCTGGGGCTCACCATTTCCCTCCCTGAATGAGATGTCCTGAAGAACAGAGGTCTTTGAGTTTAATGGCACGTCCTCTGGAGCTGTGTGGCCCCACACCTGCTGCCATCTGTGGTTGAGTGTTTACGATTAGAAACTAGATGCCTGTCGGATTTGCAAAGGACAGGAACGTGGTCAGACCACCCAGGCGAGCAGAACTTACTCACTTTCCAACATGAACTTCCAAATGACAACCTTTCATGACTAACTTGTTCCCAGACCGAATACAAAAGAGGCGTGAGCTTTAAAACCAAACTGGGATTTTAAGAATAAACACTGTGCGGCTTATACAAAGGTGCTGACACTTTAACCACCAGGGAGAATGGCCAGCTCTCCAGAGTGAAGCCCTTTCATGTCAAGCAGGAGGATTAGCCTGGAGCAGGGCTAATGGCTTGAGCTGCTTTGGCTCCGGTCCTGGTTCCCTTTGGCCCCCGTCTGGGTCGTTAGGCTGAAGTCTTCACTGAGGGTCACCAGAGTGGGGGTGCTGCTTAGTAACATGCTGGACAGCTCAGCTCTGTGCTTTATCCCTCGTCGGGGTGCTATGAATGCATGGGTGAGTGAGTGAGAATGTGGCGGGGAGGGAAATAGCATCCAATATTTGGATTTAATAATGTATTTTTCAGTGAAAGGTAAGATATTACTCCTAGAACTTAAGAGAGCTACGGAGAAATTCTTGTATGTATTGAGAAAACTCAAAAAATCCCTTTTCCCTTTCCCATCAATATAGTTGGTGACTTTTTTGAACCTGTTGTTATGGTATCAAGAAGAGATATAATAATATTGACTGTGACTTGAAAAAAGAATCAAAGAAAGAAATTGTTTTGAAGGGGCCCATAGAGTGCTGATCAGAATAAATAAATAGAGATGTTGCCTTTATATATATATCACAGTGAAACTTTAGAACACTGAGGCTAAAGAGGAAAGCCCAAAGGCTTTAGAAAGACTTTATTTTCTTAAAGCAGGTGTTTGAGTTAATCCCTCAGAAATACGTTCTGTAAAGGATGGATTAAAAATTATTCTTTTTAAAAAAAGAAAAAGGTAGTGCATATGGCTATCTTCCTTCTCCAAGGCCCAATAGATAATGGCAAAACACTAGAAAGCAGATCTAGGAAAGAATACCATTTTTGGATCTGAAGTCTACCAGTGAGTCTGGAAGATGGGAAACAGATGGAGCAAATCCAGGTTAAACACATATGTAGGGTAGGAGTGATTCTGAGTGCTTCAGGCAATAGATACACAGGGCCGCCATTATGGTGAGTGGGCAACTGCATTTGGCTCAGGTGGGTAGCTTTGACCTCTTTCTCTGGTTCCTTCTGGGCAACAGCAGGCTTGAGCTGGAAGTACCCCGTGTGTGGGCAAACCCAGAAGAACTACAATTTTCAGTTTAAAATCAAGTTAACTAACATACACTCCCAGATGGCATGCCCCCACACCCACTTCTTCCCTACAAACCTCTGGAGGCCACTGCATTAAACAGATAACATCAGATAAAAAAAATGTCCATCCATGAATCACTTAAGAAAACATCAACTCTATGAATGTGAGATTCTGACTTAGCAAACCAAAGAACCCTCACCAAGAAAGCAGCATTAACAGCAAACAGGATTAGACTTTAAAGGAAACAAAGTGGGATTTCCTCAGAGGCATAAGAGGAATTTATTGCATGAAATAGGAACAGGCAGCTATTTCAAGAGCCAAATAGATACTATGTTGGAAGTAAAATATTTAATTGGTATTTAAAAAAAAAAAAACCCTCAGAAATGGGAAGAAAAGCAAGATGCACACAGCTGAAGAATAAATTAGCAAGCTGGAAGTCCGAATTAAGAAATAATTCAGAAAAGGGATGCCTGGGTGGCTCAGTCACTTAAGCGTCTGTTTTCAGCTCTGGTCATGATCCCAGGGTTCTGGGATTGAGTCCTGTGTTGGGATCCTTCCTCAGCGGAGAGCCTGCTTCTCCCTCTGCCTGCCACTCCCCCTGCTCGCGCTCTTCCCCTCCCCCCGACAAATAAAATCTTGAAAAGAAAATTCAAAATGTAGTACAAAAAGACAGATTTAGAAAATGAAACAAAGGTTATAAGGTATGGAGGACAGACCTAGGGGTTTCAAGATCCATTTACGTGGGCCTGTCAAAGGAGAGGAGAGAGAAAGAATGGTTGGGGGTGAGGACGGAGGTTGGGAAGAGAAGAATCAAACAGCCATGGAAAAATACGAGTCGTCGGATTAAAAGTGTCCCCACAGTGCTGATCATGATAAGTAAATAAAGACACTCCTCAGACCTGTTCTAGTGAAATTTCAGTCACTCAGGGTAAAGAGAAGATCTCAAAAGGCTTTAGGGAGAAGGTAGATGGAATACTGTTTTGATTTAGAGGCATGATGACTCTTGAGGGGGTGAGGAGGGAATCCATCTATGGGGAGATGCTTGGGTGGAAATAGATTTAATACCACAATGTAATTCTACATTTTGGAAATAAAAACAAATTCCTGTTGTTTTCTTTGGCAAACTCTTCTTGGTTGTTAGAGTTACCTATTTATCCCTGGGGAATGGTTTGGATTCTCTAAGATACGTTCCGGGACTTAGTCAAAAGTGTAGTCTTTGAAATGCTTCACGATCCTGCTTTGGAAGTTAACCCCAAAAGTCCTCTCTATTGCAGCCCCTTTCCCCATCACTGAGGCCAAGACCTTGTTTACCACCGTGGAGGGCATAGCTGGGATAAGTGGCTGAGATTTCCTTTCAAAATCCAGAGCTTTCCAGTGGAATGGTTGACCGTTTTTCCTATGAGGATGGCTTTGTTCAGGCTTGCTGGTAGCATAAAAGAATTGCCCATATTCTACCTTGAGCAAGAGGGAATGCTCTTTACCCTAGATAATCTTTTGAAGTGAGTAGGAAAGAACCGATGCTGAGTTCTATTTCACATTAAGATTGAATTTGCAAGGCTTTGCTTATTGGTAACTTGATAACCATGATTAACTGTACGGGTCACTGGAGTTCTCAGAGTACATGTAGGTTTATTATGGAACAATTAGCCAGGGAACATGAGCTCTGATTCCTTAGCAAAGAGCTCCTTGTGGTGAGGAATGATGATCGGTGTTACTGATTATTATTTATGTAGGGATTTCTCTCTTTTTTTTTTTTTAGTGTAGGATATCCCATTTTACTGAATGAAGGGACTCTAGGTTTCTGTAATCTTCTGTATTAATGACCTAAAATTTTCTTGTGTGATTCTAGAGGCCAGAGCCCACCAGTTGCTGAATTTAACTTACTCCTGAAAGCTCACACTTTGGAAACCTATGGGGTAGACCCCCACCCATGCAAGGTGAGTGCCCCTCCTAGCAGGCCGACATATAATGATTGTTTTGCCCACAAGAGAGTTAATTAGTGTGGGGGATATTACTACAGGCTGACCCATTGTCCCTAATTGGAAGGGACAACAGTAGGCTGTAGTCACATGTTCTGGTGGTTGATTTTCTCCATTGCAAGCCTTCCAATTGCTTGCTAATTGCTATGTAGTAGCCATACTTTCCTAAATTAACATATATGATTCATTCATTTATCAAATGGATGGTTCTACCCCTGAGAACTTAAAGGATCCCAACAGATTTATTTTCAAGACCCTTGTCAGCAAGAAGGTAACCTTAATGGAAAATAGAAGAAAAAAAAAGACTTAAAATTATATTTTGACATTAGGATTTTTTTTTTTTTTTTTTTGCTTTCTTTGCTCATATTATTTGATAGTATTTCTCTCAAGCATGTATCAGAATCACCTGGGCTCCACTCCAGAGTACTGACTCAGAATCGCTGGGGTTACAGCTGGGGAATATGCTTTTTTAGCAAGTCCCCAAGATGATGCACACATTTTCCAGAAATGTTTTATGAAAACAGTTTTCTTCTTTCCATACCTTAAACTAACTACGCATCAACCAGACACTAACTAGAATTCTAAACTAACCGTTTATCTCAGCCAGGCTCTTAAAGGTAAGTTCTTGAGTTCTGCTGGAACATTTCTTTACCCATATGGGATCAGCTAATAGTATTTGGTAAAGTACTAGTTCTAGAGCTCTTAGTGCAGGCTGCTCATTAGAAATACCCAGGGAGCTTCATACTCCTGCCACCCAATGACATCAGGGTCTGTGGGGGAGCAGACCAGGCTCTCCAGATGATTCCAACATGCGGCCGAGGTAGAGAGCTGATAGTACTTGTTCACATTGGCATTTTTATTCGCACAATTATTTTAGCATATTTGCCAGAATCCTCTTCTGTAATGGTATAAATCAGTTTATTCCATTTAGTGAATTAGATTTTATCCACAATTTTGAGCCTGTTTGTTTTATTTATTACTTGGAGATGGACTTGATTTTTGTTACCATCATTCCTTTTCTTTTACTGATCTATGCTTAGGTTTTCCTGGTTGAGGCTGGAAGCGAAGTAGACATTTCTGGACATATCTTTACATTAAAACTACCAGGAATTTTGTATGGAATTTAATCAAGTCAAATTAGGGCTTTGGTTTCATAGCATCTTTGATTTTAGGGCTAATGATGACTGAGCACAGTTTGACAACATTACAGGACAGATCCGAGAACTCGGGTGGCCCCAAGACACACTTGGAAATAGACATAGTGGTTTGGGACTAATCTGCCTTTTCCCAGGATGTTCCCGGAGAGGTAGAAGGTCTGTTCCTCCAAGGAAAAAGCTGCATATTCCCAGACCTTCCCCAGATTTTAGAAGCACTATCCTTGGAAGTCCCATCTCAGAAACTTAGTTTATTGCCACGATCAATGGGATTAACCTGAAAGTAACCCAGGGGGTGGATGAATGAGGATACCATTTATCATTTATTTTATATTTCTCATTCTCAATCCAAATGTTTTTGGTTCTCCTTTTTTTCCAGGATTCAACAGGCACAACAACATTTTTAGGATTCACTGCAGCAGGCTTTGTGGTATTCCAGGGAAATAAGCGAATCCATTTGATAAAATGGTAAGGACTTCTTTGGGAAACTAGCTTACCAATTTTCTTAATCTTGCTTTTCTTTCCCAGCCTTTGATACTTTTTTTTGTTTGGAAATGTCTGGTAGAATGCCTAGTATTCATTTCTTTGCCGTGGAGCATCATTAAAAAGGGATTATTCATCTATAAATAAAAGCCAACCTAGGTTGTCCTAGACCTCAGGAGACTTGGGGTGTGTCTTGGGCTCAGGGGCTCTGTCTCCAAAGAGAAGGTGCCCAGTGTTTCCTCACCAGCAACTGCTGCTCTGGCCAGAGGGGTGACCTGGGGTAGGGCAGGGCAGGGTAAAGGTACAGTTTCCCTTGAATAACTCAGGACCCTCTTCTCCTGCTCCCTCCTCTCCATTCTCTCTCTCTCTCTCTCTTTTTTAAGATTTTATTTATTTATTTGACAGAAAGAGAGACAGCGAGAGCAGGAACACAAGCAGGGGTAGTGGGAGAGGGAGAAGCAGGCTTCTCACTGAGCAGGGAGCCCATTGTGGGGCTTGATCCCAGGACCCTGAGATCATGACCTGAGCCGAAGGCAGATGCTTAATGACTGAGTTACCCAGGTGCCCCTCCATTCTCTTCTCTTGAGTCCTTGTTGCAGAGACGTCATGTGTTACCCAGTATATCAGTGAAGATGCTTTTGGCTCTAAGTAACAGGGATGTCTGCTCACAGTGGCTTACAAATAAGAGGACTGATTATTTCACACAGCAAAACTTCCAGAGGTTGGGCATTTCCATGATCCTTTAACTTAATTGCCTGACAACACCGTGAAGGACCTGGGTCTCCATTTTCTTCTCTGTCATCCCAGGGTAATGGCTTTTGTCCCCAGGCTCATGCTCGTAAGGTGGCCATGCAAGGAACTCTGGCCATCCCATCTTCATTCAGCAACACCTAGAGCCTGGAGGAGAGAATCCCCTTCCGTGTGTCTCCTATTAAAACAAGGAGGACTTGTTTTACAGAAGCCCTGTAGGAGACTTCCGGTATATCTAATAGGGCAGGATTGGCTCACATGAACCTACTTAAAGCAATCCCTTAGAGAAGAGTGGGAACTCCATGACTCTGTTGGTCAAATCAAGACCCACCTCTTGCGGCTGGGAAGAACATAATCTGCATGAACATGTCATATTGAGGAAGAAGAAAGTCTGAGTCATGTCAATACAGAAGTGGGAGGATGGAGCAAGGTAGGTGACCAGCAGGGCCCATGGTGTCCAATCAAGAGATGGTTTGGGCAAAAAGCCAGAAGGCTGAACTTATATGGAATATTGTAAAGGCTCAGTCTTGTTCATACCTTCAGCTTGATTCAGTTTCCTCCCTGAGGGCCCCTGACAGGTTTGTCATCCCCCTCGCCCCATCATGTCTCACTGGGTGGTGGGCTCCCCCTTGTGGCCTGAAGTTCTTCTTGATGGGCCAATGGGCATCTGCCTTCATTCATGGGTTGGCAATGCCCTTGCATTTACCTGAACCTCAGTTTCGTGGTTCTGTTAGCTTCAGGATTTCCAGGACCCCTTTATCAACACCCCCACTCGTGCACTGTCCTCTTGGCACCTCCCCCCTCCCTTTCAAACCTTCTCTGCTGGGTTAGCATCAGCCAGCTAGTGTCCACTCCACTCCTACACCTTGTACTCTTTTTTCTGAGATCCCTGATTTCATCAATCTCCTCCTTGAATCATTGCCTTTTGTTCAGCTCATACTTTCCGCTCCCCTCTGCACCCACTTGTTCTTTCTCCACAATGAGCATTCTCAGAACTCTTCTTCACTTCGCTTCTCTGAGTCTCTGTGTACTCAGTCGTAAGATGGGAATCCATTACATCTGGCATTACATATGGGGAGGAAAGGAGTTGGGTGAGAAGCAAATGCAACTGTGTTGTGAGTGGTGGGATTCATGAACTCTGACATCTTGTGGACGTGTTGCATGGTGGGGTGACTAGTTTTCTTCCCTGTGTTTTCTGCACCTTGGAAAGAAGGGTATTAATCACCTTGCAGGCCATTCCCCAATAAGCTCCCTACAGATTCCTGTTGACTTTGGGAAGCATGGATAATGTGGGGACTTCTCCCATCCTACCCTAGGACCACAGAAGACTTGCGGGTTATATCCTCAGGTTTCTGAACTACTTGAGCTCTGAAGTAGTTAGGGGAGAACCTGTCATGTCTTAAGTGCAGATTAATTGCAAGTGTCTGCTCCTTGGGCTTCTGTTTCTTCCTGGGTCCACTGAAGAGTTAAGATGGACAATCACCGGACCATTTGTTTCTGGTTCTACATCGTGGTGTTCCTGGTGGGGTGCTGAATGTCATCCCTACCCCTCTCCAGCCTCTGCCTAGGCATGTGTATTTGGAATAGCTGTGGATATGTTACCAAAACAAATTTTAGTCCCACATTAATCCTAGTTTTTTTTTTTTTTTTTAACATCCACTGAGCTGTGTCACTCTTGCAAATCCTCTCCTAAGTTTGAACAGCTTAATGTAGACACACTGTTCTTTTTCCCTCAGGAAAAAAACACAGGGGCACAAATCACTCTTTTAGAAATTAGATCAAAGGACTAAAAATAGAATTGTCTCCTCTCTATGCATATTTGCTCACCAAAGAGGTGACCTAGGGTCCCCATTTCAGGCAGATTTTAATTGAGCAGCTCCTTAAGATAAAAACCCAAAGTTCCTCTTTTGACTACCATGTGTCAAGCTGTCCTCACAATTTTGAGCATCTCAATATTTAATAAAACTATTCTCTCATGAGCAGGGAGAGCAGAAATGAAAATTTTGCAGCCTGGTGTGTGTGTTTCTCGAAGATGGATGTGAAAGTTTGAGGGAGACAGATACTGTGAATCCATATCATTTCATTACCCGAACCTGAAATAATCACATTCTTCCTACCTCGCAAAGTGGGCTGGCCAATTAATATTGTTTTTGTTGTTAATGTTCACAAAGCCTCCAGAGCTCCTTGGAAGAAAGATGCAGCTTGACTGTAAAAAATGGAAGAAATAGTTCTGAGCTGCCTTCGGATCCTCTCTTGGGAAGAAAATTGCTGTATAATTCACTTGGGGGCTTTTCACTGCTCATTAAGCCTTTACTGATGATAAGATAATATCTTGTTTCATTGCAGTCGGCTTGGTATTTGCGAGTCAGCCTGATTCCTGTGGGAAACCCAGGTACATTAGTTAGCTGCCACTTTTTTTTTTTCTTCTTCTCACCCAAAGAGATTTTCTTTTCTTTTAGGCCGGATGTCTGCAAGTTGAAGTTTGAAGGGAAGACATTTTATGTGATTGGCACCCAGAAGGAGGTCAGTGACTGCTTTTCTAGCCTGTAGTTATGTGTGTGTGTGTGTGTGTGTGCGCGCGCGTGTGTGTGTGTGTGTGTGTGCAAACGAGAGGGACGCAAGCATAAAACATGCCTTTAGTATTGTAGCCCCAGAATACCACCACTTTGAAGCTTACAGTGATAATGGAAGCTGTATGCTGAACATTTGAGAGGTAAATAAATAGTGGGTTTGCACATTTAAGAACAAAGTCAGTGAAATGAGTCGGTCAGAAAAAGACAAATAAGATTTCACTCATGTGGAATTAAACAAAACAGATGAACACAGGGGAAAGGAAGGAAAAATAAAATAAGATAAAAACAGAGAGCGAGGCAAACCATGCAAGAGTCTTAACTATAGGGAACAAACAGGGTTGCTGGAGGGGAGATGGGTCAGGGGATGGGGAAACTGGGTGATAGGCATTAAGGAGGCACGTGATATAATGAGCACTGGGTGTTAAATGCAACTGATGAATCAGTGAATTCTACCCCTGAAACTAATAGTACACTACATGTTAACTAAATTGAATTTAAATAAAAAAATTTTTAAAAAGAACAAAGTCAGTGAGCAACGCTTGACCATATACTACTGTGTAAAAAATAGACTGGGATAGAAAATGGAACCTTCTCTTGAAACTAACACTGTGTGTTAACCAACTGGAATTTGAATTAAAAAAAGGAAAATGGAACCTCCTTCTACCTCTGTAATCTGCCAAAATATAGATTTATGAAACAAGTGAAGAATACTTCCAAAGCTAGATATTCAACCACTGCTGGTGCGTTTTATGAATAGAGTCTGTACATGCCAGGAGTCTTAATGAAGCTACTGGATGCAGGTTGGGTTCATCAGGGAATGCATCTGAGAAGAGGCCGTCATGGAAGCTTTGAGCCTTAGGCCTAGGTCTGGAGGTTTGCAGATTTTCTTGACTAGTTTTTAGATCAAGCACCGGTTATTCAGCGGTGGCAAAGTTTTTAAAGGACTACAAGTCTGATTGAGAGGCGGGTGATTCCTGGGTTGTTGAGAAGGATTGACTGTGAGGATGTTTTTTGTTAGAAACAGGGCCCAGTTAGATTCAAGATGTCTGCAAAGGGTGAGGGAGGCGGGACACCATTTCAGCAGCATTTTTAAGACCAGGGTAATGCCTAAGTTACTTTTAGTCTGTTTGGCAGGTGTCGGGGGCGGGGAGCTACAAATTGGTAAATACCTGAAAAAGATAAATTCTGTTTCACATGCCCTTTCTTATTTTGTCTTTTTTATTAGAAAAAAGCCATGTTGGCATTCCATACTTCGACACCAGCTGCCTGCAAACATCTTTGGAAGTGTGGGGTGGAGAACCAGGCCTTTTATAAGTATGTAGCTTTTATTCATTTAATCATAGGTTGTAAAAGCATCCATGGAACCACTCATGTTTTGCAAATAGCTGCATATTCATTTCTTTTAATTCAGTTCTTTTCATTATATTTAAGGGAATTGTAAATTCAGTGTGTTGTGCAGGGCGACTCCCAACCAAGCCTGAGCTCCTCATTGGGTGATACTCATAGAATTGCAATGGGTGCTTTTTTTTTTTTTTTTTTTGCATTTATATTTCCATTCAAAATGTCGCAGAATCTGTTTTTGGTTGGGTGTCCCCCTCAGAAGCAGACCTTGAGAAGAGTTGAGTGCTAGTAATTTCTTTGGGATGTGATTTCTGGACCTACCGGTAGGAGGGATGGGGAAGGGAGGTGGGGCAGCAAGCAATATAGGGCATGTTATCCATCAGGTCACTCCTGAGGGCAGCTGTGCTCAGCTCTGCTGGGGAATTCTGTCAGGCTATAGAACTTGCCTCAGAATTCTCCCACTGACAAGCAAAGGGCCCGGGCTGTTTGTTTACCAATTCCCCATTCATTTTAGTTGAAGGCCACTTCAGAAGGCAGAGTTAATACTCTCTGGCTTACTCTGAGTGTGGGCTGACTCTGCTCTCACAACCAGAGAAAGCAAGCTTTGGCAGAGAGTCACAGGTGTTTGTAGTAAGAAGCCTTCTGCACACAGAGATGGGAGCCAACAGCTTGTGGGTGGAATGCGGTCAGAGGCTATGATGTGGAAAGTCAATACTGTACAGGACTTCAGAAACCATCCACAAAGCTCTCAGATTTCAAGAGAGCTTCAAATTTAGGATCTTCCCACTGAGTTCCAGCTTCTCCTCTTTGAGACACACTTGTTGAGTGGAAGAGCAGTGGTGAGGGACATAGTCAGGAGCCCAAGCCAGCCCTGCCGGGAGTACCAGCTGGCCCCTGGAGTTCATCCACATGGCCTTTGCTCTGTCTTCCCTCACACTAAATTCGGCCATGCTCATTAGACTCTTGTCTCTGAAAATGCTGAGTCTCTGAACCTCCTGGGCTTTAGCTGACAAGGATCAGGAGAGTGGATCAGGCTCGGACAATCTTTTTCAAATCCCTTTTTTATCCACAAAACTCTTTTCCTCAAATAGAAGTGTAGGCAAAGCCTAGTAGGTAAAGAGAGAAAAATAGAGGAGCTGTGGTTGTTGGTGACGATCAGAGTTGGGACTGGGGACTCGAGACCCTTCACCTGTTGCTCACTGCTTCTCAGGAGCTTGGGTGACCAGTTGTCTGCATTTGCCGGGCCTTCTTCAGGTTTAGCATTGAGAGTCTTGTGTCCTGGGAGAACACTCTGTCATGGGCAGATCCCATCAGGAGTATAGTTTGAAAGCCCTTGGATGAGATGACCTCCAAAATGCTGTGAGTGAAGATATGTATCAAAAGACCTTCCCACAACCAACTTCACTTCAAGACATCAGTGGGTCCCATCAGGTATTTGGGAACTGGTATATAAGGGCACCTGACTGCCTCTGAAATCATGTCCAGGCCTGTCCATTGCCCATGGGAGCTGAGAGAGGGAGATGCAGAGGGTTTGATGCTCTGCCTCTAGTTGAGGCCTGCATGTATTTTGCTGTTGTTTTTAATTATTTGAAAAATTGAGATCCTACACCATAAAAATCACCCCTTTAACGTATACGTTCAGTAGTTTTTAGTATAATTCACAAAGTCATGCAACCGTCACTGCTATCCAATTCCAGAACATTTTTATCCCTTCCAAAAGAAACCTTGCATCCATTAACAGTCACTCCCCATTTCCCCCACCCCCCCGTTCCCAGACCTTGGCAACCACTGGTTTACTTTCTATGTTTATGGATTCACCCGTTCTGGACATTTTATATAAACAGAAACACAAACTATGTGGTCTTCTGTGCCTGGCTTCTTTCACTTAAGGTCATGTTTTCAAGGTTTATCATGTGGTAGCAGCATCAGTACTTTGTTTCTTTCCATGACTGAATTATGATCCAGTGTTTAGATAGACCACATTTTGTTTATCCATTCATCAGTCGATGGATATTTGGATTGTTCCCTCTTTTTAGCTATTATGAATAATGCTGCTATGAATATTCATATAAAAGTTTTTCTGTGGACAGTTCTGTTAGGTTTATACCTAGGAGTGGAGTTTTGGGTCATTGGGTAACTCTATACTTAATTTTTTGAGAAACTGACAAACTATTTTTGGAGCCTAAGCTTTTGGAAGTCTTCTGTTCCTCCTTTAATGAAATCATCTGGTTCTTGTCAAGGGATCATTTAGAGACATTAATTAGTCATTTTGAATGAGTGTTTTCTCACAAATGAGGGAGCTGGTAGATGGAGTTTTGAAACAAAGCAAAACAGGATAGATCATGACCTATTTTATTGTAGGTTTTTATGTACATATCTATACTAGATCAGATCTCTCTGAAGGTAGGAACTAAGTTCTATTTATCTTTTTATTTGCCAAAGACCCCAGGCATTCAAAAAATATTTCCTGGATCAATTGATAAGGCACAGTTCCTATCCTCAAGAGATTTGTATTTCATGGTAGACACCAAAAGGGAAGTACAAATAAAATGCTGGAGGGCACCCCAGAGGAGGGGTGAGTCTTGTTGTTGGGGGAGCCAGGAGGTAGAAGTCCCCTTCAGATGGAGGAAGGACATTCTGGGTAAGAGACCAACGCAGGAAAGTGGAAGATGTTGGGGAAGATGAGCAGCCACACAAGGCTGGAGTAGAGGGTACATGGAGTAGACAGGGAGTAGAGGAGGGGCCAGGAGCTCTTGGGGCCAGACAGAGGGCTCAGCCATCATGAAAGAGGGTAGAGAAGCAAAAGGTGTGGTTGATGCTGCTGACCACAGATGGTGGAAGGGGCGGGAGTAGGAGAGGAGAACACCCAGTGGATAGACCTTTTGGAGGCTTCTCAGTCAGCTCTTCTTGGGAGGAGTTTAGCATGGCTTTGAAGATCCTTTAGGTGAACTCATAGGATCTCCATCAAAGAATAACGTAGGACATTAATTCATTCTTTTGCACACACATTGTTTTAGCATGTGTGAGGGAGTCAGTTGATTGCTAGAGTCAAAGACAAAAGCAGAATTGAAAGGAGGGGGAAGCAGGAGAAAAACCTATGAACCGGGGAACTCATTTTGCATATTTTAGGGTATGCACCTTAGCTGGCAGCTAGTAAAGAGGTCAGTGTGATAGTCCTGTCATAAGATGGGCCAACTAGGCATATCAGAGGAATCCTTCCCAGTCTTCCGTGGATGCTTCCAAAGACCAGGAGGGTTTAGTGGTCAGCACCTGTGGCACTGAACAGATCTTCCTTGACTTCCTTGACTTACGATGGGGTTACACCCTGATAAACCCATCCTAAGTTAAACGTACTATAAATCGAACCATCATATATTGGGGACCTTCTGTACAGAGGTGACCGAGTCCTTGCGCCCCTGCTTTGGTCAGGTCAGGCTACCCCGTCTCTCTCATGAAGACCCCTAATCCCTAATATTTATACTGATCTGAGTTTTCTTGGACCCTTTTGTTCCTTCATTGATCTGATAACCATCCCTGTTCCTTACGGAGAAGGAAAGATACCACCTGTTCTGACCTCAGCCTTCTCATCTACAGAACGGAGGGGACAGGGCCTTGGCCGTGGTTTGTTTGCCTCACTGTGTCCTCGTGTTCACGAGCATGGACCTTGGAGGTGAAAGGCTTGGCTTTGAGTCTTGACTCTGTCACTTCCTAGCGGTGTGGCCTGGAACAAAGCACTTGAACTCTGAGCCCCAACTTTGTTTTTCATCCGTAAAATGTAATACCTGCTGGGGAGTGCTTAGTTGTGCCGCAGTGACCATGACTACCCCCCCTCCACTAATGACAAAAGGTTTTTGAGCGCCTGTTGGTCGCAGAGCCCCGTCCCTTTGACTCTGAAGGGTTCTGATTCTGTTAAGCTCAGGGGTGGGTGCTGTCCCACTGGGTGCTGCGTCGTAATGGTTTCGGCTGGCAGAGCAAGGTCCTGATTTTGTTTCCTGACTTGGGAGTGGTTTGCTCCTTTTTCTACTTCACCTGCCGTGGGAACAGGGAGGCCTGGTGGCCGATGCCTAGGAATTCCCTAGTGTGCTTTTAAGACATGAATGTGCAGTGGGTCGTCCACTGGCCCAGGACCACGATCAGGTTTGAAAGCCTTTGTTCTGAGATCTGCTGCCTGGGACTGGAGCCCAGTGCAGAAACTCTGATTTTCCCTCCTGCTCCAAACCCCAGGGGATCCCTGACAAAGACAGTCACCATTTCAGAGTTTCCCTTATGCCATGTGGTTTCTAGGCGCTGCCACCCCCAGAGTACAGGTTCCCTGGAAGTGCATGGAGTCACTGAAGAGTTCAGTGGCTTGGGGAGTTTCCATTCAATGAGTCTGTCACACCTGCTTTATGCTATGCACTGTGCTGGGCACTGGGGACACCATAGAGGCTCAAATGATGCTCTTTGTCCCCGACTTTGGAATTGTTTGCAGGGCACAAAGGCAGTCTCTAAGAAATGTCTTACCCAGAGTCTGGTATGCATTTTGTCAGAGAAACAGCTTTATATTCAGTAGATAAGGACGCTGAGAGCTCCCTACACGAGAGCCTCGCACACCTCAGTGAGCACGTGAATGACCCGGAGATCCTGCAAGAATGTGGAGTGTGATTCAGGAGATTGGGATGGGGCATCAGAGTCCATATTTCCTTTTTTTTTTTTTTTTTTAAGATTTATTTATTTGAGAGAGCGAGAGCATGTGAGCAGGGGTTGGAGTAGAGGGAGAGGGAGAGCATCTCAAGCAGACTCCCTGTTGAGTGCGATGTGGGGTTCGACCGCACGACCCTAGGATCATGACCTGAGCTGAAATCAAGAGCCTGATGCTTAACCGACTGAGCCACCCAGGCACCCCCCAGACTCCATATTTCTAATAAGATCCCTGGTGAGGCTGTGCTGCAGGCCCATGGTCCACACTTTGAGTACCAAGGTTCCAAACCAGT